AGGTGGGGCCGCTGGTGCAGAATGAACACTGTGTGTCTCCCAGGTGGGGCCGCTGGTGCAGAATGGCCCCACGTGGGGATTGCACTTCAATGAATGATGAAGTGGGTTCCCTTCGGTGAAGGACTTTGAGAAAGAAAAACACTATTCAAAACCAAGGGTTTGTAATCCTCTAACTGACCCAGATGAGAGCACTCTCCACATGCCTTTGGTTCGCCATTAGTGGTCCAACTGCTGCTGAAGTGGAAAGTCCGTGTTTACTAATTTGTAAGCCCCTGCCTTATTCTGTTTCAAACCTGGCAGATGAACTCACCTTTCGCGAATATGCGACTGTCATGCGACATAATGTTCACTGCACCTCTTTGTAGTTTTGCGACCTGCCAGTATAGTCCAGTCGAACCCTTTTTCAGAGAGCTGATGAAGACGCGCCTGGACTATGAAAGGTATCTCGGCATGCCCAGAATAATGGGCCTATTCCCTCTTGTGAAATCATCATTCTAGAATTTCATAATCGTGACCTTATGACCCCCAAAACACAGGAAAGTTAAATTTATTCCTTGGCCATAGTTTCACAGAATGATGAATTGAGGGGTTTTTCGACCTTTCTTCGTATTATAATATCCCAAGAAACACCGGTGGCGAACATTAACACCTCTGTCCTGACTGGAGTGTTGGGCAGGATAAAGACAAGTCACATCGTGGAAACAATGTACTTATATGCATATTTTAAGGAAAGATTTTTTCCTTTTATTCAGATTTTTGTCTCAGGCTTTTTAAACATCAAACTATACCCCTCACCCATTAGGTCCGACCACGATTTCGATACATTTCGGGTTTACAGGAACGGACCGTGCATCCAAGACCCGCCATCCTCTCCCGAACTTTGTGGAAAACGATCCTTTAAAAGGAAAACAACCGCCGCGCATGGCACCGTGCAGATACAGATCAGCGGGGGGCACTGACATCTCATTCTCGGCCCTGCGTCAGCACAGCCTCGGAGGAGCAATAGGAAGGCGATTTATGACGGCCTGTACTGACGGGGCCAAAAGATGAACTCGCAAACAAGACCAAAAAGAATAACAACCGCGACAACAACTTAGTCATTAAAAATAGACGACATCAATATTGTGGAAATGATATATGTGCGATTGTTTCTTTTCTTGGGAGGGAGGGGAGGAGGGGGGCGGTGTGAGTCTTCAATGGCTCTGCGGAGGGAGTCTCTGGTTTATGGTCCTACTATAGTGCGCAGTGGTAATGTGGTAACCAGCGGGCGATGAGTTATTCTAATAATTTCCCTTGAGGAGGGGGCCGACCCCCCCTCCTCTGCACTCCTTGTGTGTCTTGCACACAGCGGCAGGTATATAAATCTCCCGGTCTGCAGGAGAGTAGCAGGAGATCGGCGCTGGCAGAAAGCACAATAAACAGGTGCAAATACGAATTCAGCTGCTTCGCGTATTCGAAGAGAAGGCTTCGACTTCGGCACAGACATCCTTACCAGCCACCTGTAGCGCCCAGCCTTTTCTCACAGTAAGTACACCCGCCGACTCGTACTGCGGTTTGGTCTCTCTGTTATTTAGTTTGAGGTTTTTGACTTTTCAATGCATTTTTTTTTTTGTTGGCTGAAATAAGCTTATAACGACGCCCCAAGGGTGAAAGAAAGCCTGTTCTGACCGATTGTTCCCCGAAGTGTGGTCCAAGTTGTTTTAGCGAAAATACAAAAAAGATTATAAAAATGACAGTAATTGGATTAAGATCACACTTCGTTAAATTTTCTTCCGTGTGTCTTTAAAACCTTGTCTACCGTGAACTGGTGGGTAGTTTTCAAAACGGAGGAAAACTTCACCAACTTCGTAAGAACGGTCAAATTCATTAGAAATTAATAGGTAGGACTACTGGTTGAATGTCGGCTTGAAAACAATCATGTTGCGGTGAAGATTCTCGTCTTCAGCGTGATAAATCGGGGCTCGATGGCTTTCAGGACCAAGGACAGCTCTCGGGCTCTCCAAAGTATGTCGTCAACTGTGCTGTTGAAACAGCCTCTTCTCGGTCTGTATTTCGTTGCTTATACCGCGATTATCGTCAGCAGACATGCAAACACTGATGTCGCACTCAATCTCCTGCGTTTCTCTCAGTGCCATATACCAATCCTATCGTTCTCCAACAACGAGCTCGTATCTTCCTCTTAATCTTCTTTTAACATGTTTTTTTTATTATTTTGGATTCGGGTTATATCCCCCACGTGGACACACACGGGTACGTGATTTAGGTGTTCAAAGGCGCTGAACTTGTAGAAAAAAAACAATATTAAAGATTAGTCCACTAACAACTCTCATCTAATCTTTGCTAATTAATTCAGAAAATAGGTAAATAGATTACACTTCAAATCACCGTTGTTATAGATCAATTGAGGCATTCTGTATTCGCTTCTTACCAGTAATATTAATGCGAGTATTAACTGTGTTCTGTTGATAATTACTGATGACAAATATATAACATGAAAAATTACCTAGTGAAATTTTCCCGTTCGGAAATTCGATACCTTTCGACAACAAACAATAAATTAATCTAAACCTCTGCAATAAATACGGCGGTCAGTTCATACATTGCTTAAGATATCACTCCTCTCGCCCGAATCACTGAATTCGGTTGGAAAAGTTGATCCTATGCTAAATACAAAATAAAACGCTATAACGTTTTCCATGAATTTCAACGATTTTTTTTAAACAGGAAAAAATGAATATATTTAGACGCTTATTTTGTTGTATGAAATACCATGTGTGCAGGCATTTCGTCCATTTTCAATTCACTTGTCCTAATAAGAGTTGCGCCGTACACAATTTTGACCTCGGCTTTTCCGAGTTCCGTAATATATTGTTTTCTTAGACAGCGCCCGTGAAGTCTTGGGATACCAGATCATTTTGCAAAAAAATAAAGGCAAGGAAAGTCCCCAGACCAATTAGTTACAGCTGGTTGTAAAAAAAAATACTGAAGAGATCAATCTTCCGATTGCGGCTGGAACAGGCTAATCTCTTAGTTTCTCATATGAGTTGTGTGTGAGCTGTAAAAACAGCAGATTAGAGCCGTGCGTCCAATCGTCCTCAGAAAATGAATATCAAAACTCTTGGAAATAAACGACGGCGGTAACCCGTCGTCGACCTGCTTGGTGCGCCTATTTCTCTGCACAGTAGAAAGGTGCTTTCGCACCGCCGGCACGGAGCTTTCCAGAGCCCGTAGCGATTACTGCCGGGGAGAGCTCGGTCCGACTCTCAGGGCTGTGTCTGGGTTCTGAACCGCAGATGGTCGCCGTCCTGAAGCCCTGGAGTGCTATGATCGCGCTGGTCCTCTGCGTGCTGGTGTGCCTCGGCGCCTTCGTGGACGCCTACCCGCCCAAACCCGAGAACCCGGGGGAGGACGCGCCGCCCGAGGAGCTGGCCAAATACTACTCCGCGCTCAGGCACTACATCAACCTGATTACAAGACAGAGGTGAGTACGCCTTCCTTGTAGTCTGCTTCTTGGTCCCAGGTTGCTATTCGGCGTCGGTGTGCATGTAGCGGACCTCGTCTGAGACTTGTCCTGTCGTCACCAGGTCGTGGCTTTCACACCTGAACTGCAGATTGTTGCTTTATTTTTCTTTATAACCTTCTTAGCCTTAACATGTCCGTTTACTGCCACGGAGTCCAGACCCTCGGGTTCGGTCAACGTCGGTAACTTTGGGAAACGATTTTGTGAAACGGAATGGGACGACACATAACTACAGTCCCCTGGTACTTCAGTTTCGGACTGCCTTTCCAGAAAAGAAAGGTACCAGAAAAGTACCGAACAGTAACCCTGACAGTTCTTTTTTCCATGAACCTGAGAGGCGAAAGTCGGACGATCTCCGCTTCTCTCCATTGTGGAATTGAGTTTAAAAGCGACAAAATACCACATGAGTTCATTTTTGCAGCTACTGTACATCGACGGTAACTGGGTTCTGAATCGTGAAGAAAAAATAGTTGTAAAACCAACAGAAAGCACAAACTTCTATTACTACAGTCCTAACTATATAACGATTGTAAGGATAACGATAAACTACTGTAAGCAATCGGTCCACCTGAGCAAACAAGATGGTTGTAATTTTGACACCCAGTAACGCAGAAAACTGTGTAATAGGTGCCGTTTATGGACGGATGGCCCTCCTGCACATCAAACAGTCCGATGTAGTAACTGTGAACTCCAGGTTAGTGTAGTTGTAGTTCTGACCATTGAGTACAACTGTTCTTTGGGGCGCAAGTTAAGTAAGCGAAAGTGTTAAAATAAAGTTTTGTCCAATACTGAGGGGGCGGGACAGCTCAGTGAAGTGGTAATATATATTTACAGCTGTGATGCGGAGGGTTTAGTAACCCGATTGTTCCAGAAAACATTAGGTTAATGCAACAGTGTTGGCTCTATCTTTACATGACTCGCACTGATGCAGGCTGAAAGGTATTCGCGAAACTGCATACCGTTTGAGAGCGGTTGTAGTAGCTGTGCTTTTCCTGATTTAAGGCTTTGCAGTGTGACATGACCGCGGGTGAGGTTCACTCCCGTGGCGGACACGGATTAGTCCCCTGCCTGCTGTTCAGCTGCTTGTCGGCGCTCAAGAGGGCTGCGGCGCTCGGATCTCCCCGGTCTTGCGCCGGATGACTAAAACCGGGCTGCTTTTTAAAGCAGCGTCCCCAGCCCTGTGAAAGATGCACCAGGACGAAAATGAAAGGAGATGCAAATCGCTGTGAAAACGGGTTGACTCGCGTTACTGACACCTGCGATATATAGATTTGTAAACGTCCTTGAGAAATCTGTGGCTCTGTGCGGAGCAAGCTGTTCGCTCACAGCAAACAGAAAAAAAGGTGTATTTTATTTTATTTCCTCTTTTAGAGATTTTGTTTAAGGGAAGGTAATAACTTACCCTTCTAAATGAAAGCTTCCAGCTCTGTAATTTACTCCATTAAATGCACCAAAATATACTATGTAAACTAGAGGTGCTTCTGATAGGACATAAAACTTAGATGCTCTTAATATTTAGGATTTTCCTAAATATTTCCTGTACAGTATTTTCCCTCAGGACCCATTTTTATTGGCCTTTCTGTTTTTAATCTTTCTTGCAGAAGAGCAATAATGTGATATAACCAAATGCACTCACTGGAACCAGAAAGCAATTTATTGAACTTCTTATTTGCTTAGGAATGGATGCAGGGAGAGACACACATTCTTCTTATGCACAGTTTTGTTTGGTAATTTTGGAAGTGTAGGTGGCCCAGTGGCACAGTGGTTAGCATTACTGCCTTGTAGCCCTGGGTCCCTGGGGTGCTATCTGCGTGGAGCTTGTGTATTCTACCTACAGTATGCTTGTGTGGGTTTCCTCCCACAGTCTGAATACTGGTAGGTAAATTGGCTTCTGGGGAAACTGGCCCTGGTGTGACTGTGTGTGTTTATGTCTGAGTGTGCCCTGCAATGGGTTGGCATCCCATCCAGTTTGTGCCCTTCTTTCCACCTGTTGCTTGCCAGGATGGGCTCTGGCACCCCCTGCGACCCTGAAATGAAAGATGGATGGGTTTTTAAAGTGCCTCCTTCAGGTTACAAGGGTGGCCTGGGATTACTGCACAGCAGAACATGGGAAAAACGTGTTTGCTTCAACAGGAACCTACCCATGGCTAGACCCACTGATTACATTCCAGATTAGATTCCTCTGGTGCTGGTGCAGCACATTCTATTCTATTGATATTTTATAATACTGCACAAGAGCATGAAACGGCAGTGGGCCATTGTTGTACTCTGACATATAACTGGTAGGGTGTAGCTTGAGGAGTTCATACAGACCAAACATCTGGGCTTGCAAATGAAAGATCCGGTGTATGGGATGCCACAGGAAGAAGGTTGGTGAGCTTCTGGTTGGCTCTTAATCACGGTACGGGTTTGCACCCGAGTTTGAAGTCTTTAATCCAGGCAATGCCTGTCCAGACCTGGGTTTCCTTAATCACAATCCTTGCCTAAAATTCCAAACTCTGCCACTCATCTGGCTGAGCCTCTCAGGGGCTGGAGGGAGTTGAGCCAGCTTGGGTTTCTCTGCTTTTCCAAGGTCCTGAGACGCCCCTGTGATACTCAGGGTGCTAATGATTCAGGCACTAAGGCCCTGTGGGTCCTTCGCTGTGGGGAAAAATGAGAAATGTCAGCAATTGTGCTTGGATCCTACCTGGAAAATGCAGTCAAATTAAGAACTGGGCATTGCCAACATGGTGGGTAGGAACAGAGAAAGATCTTTCTATGTGACTCTTCCAAATTTTGGAAAACAAACAAAAAATGGAATGAGGAGGCATGCCGAATCAGAAACACCCATTGAAAATGGCTAAAGAGTGTTATCCGAAAGGCTCAGAATGACTTACTTACTGTAAATGTCAGCTTCAGAATTCATTTTTTGATGTTTCTTGTCATAAACTTAAAACCACTTTGAAACTGTAGCTAGCTACTCATCTTATAGGTTACAGCTGATAGACATTGAGACTACCAAGGTGCTTTATTACAAGTGGGAGAGCCTGTTTCAGTTCATGAAGCCCTATTAAACAGGCAATCACAAGTCTGCCTCACAGCCCAGGAAGGAAAACAAGGTTGGCAAGTCAGAGAAGGTGACATTTCGCTCAGTAGTCATTAAAACTAATTGCCCCAACAAAGAGCTCTGTTGTCTGAAATTACTTCCTAGCTTGACGGGAGCAGGTCAGCCCCGATTGGAGACTTCACTGCCGACAGCAGCACTTGAGGGAATTGAGATCGGTAATGGAGACCAGTAACTCCACAGATGAGTCACAGTATCATTCTCCTGGTGTGACAGTGGACGGGGGTTTCAGACGGGCCAGTGACATTCGAGTGTATCTTCCTTTACATTTTCTGATGCTGAGTGCTATCTATTTCCGATACCGGAGAAAGAATGGGGTTTCTTGCTCAGAACCACTGCCGTCTTTTGAAACACTTTGTGAGCTGGCCTGTTGTTTCTGCTGGCATGTGGGCTGGGCTGGGGCAGTGAGTGAACAGCCTGGGGCAAACCGGCACAGAGATCCCCCTTAGAAATAGAATTTCAGCCTGTTGAAATTGTCAAAGTACTCGAGACTGGTAATTGACAAAAACCTAAAATGGGACAAATGTTGTGACACGCTCTATAAAGAAGGCCAACAGAGACTCTTCTATCCTAGAAAACTCAGCTACTTTAAGGTAGATAAAACAATCCTTACACTTTTCCACAAATCATTCATTGAAAGTGTCTTAACATCCTGCTTCACTTATTGGTTTGGCAACATAAGTACAGGTAACTGTAATAGGCTGGGTAAATCAGAGAATATAAGTGGCAAAATAATCAGGAATAATCAAATCAATTTAAACATCCTTTACAGAGGGTGACTAAGGAAGCCAGAAGCATCAGGGAGTGTGTGTCTCACCCCCTCCATTGTGAATTCACGCTTCTCCCATCTGGGAGATGCCTCTGTGCCCCCAGGTGTAAAACCAACAGACTCAGGAAATCTTTCGTCCCCACTGCAATCACACTCTTAAACAACGCAAAGTGACTACCTTGTCTCTTGTTTCTTCTCTCCTGTAACACGACTGTATTCTCTTCCCTTTTGATGATGTGTATTTGTCATTGTGTTGTGTTTAACTGTGCCGTAAAACACATTTCCCCTAGAGAATAATAAAGCTTGAATTGAATTGAATAGAAACCGTCTCCTGCGTGCTGGCCAGCTTCCATCTGTAATCACAACAAGAGCAAGTCCGACAGGTTTACATAGCCCACTTGTCCATCTCTCTTAATATCCCTCGTTATGTGAGGCGTTGAGCCAACATTTGCCTTTGCTATTATCTGGCATTTATCAAAGAGCAATTCACCAACAGCCTCACAGTACCTCACTGGAAACAAGTGAATTAAACGCCATTCAGGCAGGCCCTGGCAGTGAAATGTTTGTCACACTGAGGAGATAAAAGCACAGTGAGGCTCCATTAGGAGCAGGACAGGGGGAAAAAAGATACCCAGAGATGTTTAATGTCATTATATCCAGGCCAGGGCTTTTTTTTCCCACTGGGACTCCATTGCTGGGTTTCTAATTACTCTTGTCTGGCAGTTTTAGTCTCCTCTTTGGAGAAGTGACAGGGCGCTGTGCACTGGCAATGGGAGTGGAGGCAGGAAGACGGCCATTAGACACTCCGTCTGTGCAGAGAGGTTCATTAGGGGGCTGTTTCTGTCAGACCGGCTGGATGTGAGTCAGGGTCTGCGTGTGTATGGGTAGGGTGGGTGTGGGGGTGTCACGCTACTGAGATTGTGTTTCGGTGGATCTGAGTTAGTCAGCTTTTGTGGAGCAAGGTACAAGAAACATATACCTTTCCCCGCCTCCTGATATTATTGCTGTACATAACCATCTAAAAATCAGTTACTCATTATATGTCCAAAATGCACATTGGCTGAGCGGCACCTGTTCTAACATCAGTGAATCCTTCTGTATCTGCCACACGGCTTGTTTGTCTTGCCAGTACTTCTCAAAGCTTGTATGATGGATTAACACATCTGTCTATGCTTTTCCACTATCCCTCTATGCTGTGCTTCACTCGTACCACAGTATACCACGGTAAAGCCTTATGTGGTTAGGTAGATAGGGGTGAAGTGACATGATACTTCTTCTGAGGAATAGTGGGGAAGAGTGTTTTGCTTCTGGCCAGTGATGTGTTGTTTCTCAAGGCAGAGAGTATTTCTAAATGCACGCGACAGTGAAAAGGAATATCCCTGTCAGTTTTGACAACGTGCATGAGAAGCAAAACCTTATGTGCAGAGCTGCTGTCTGATTTCACCAAGATGTAGGAGTTTTTTGACATTCTGATGGAATTCTAATATCAGAGCGTGTTGTGTTGACATTCTGCTCTGTTAATTAACTCGAGAACTGCACTCTCTACTGTGTAAGACTCCACTGTTACTCAAAACGGAGTGGTCCAGATCGACTTCCCTAATTTCATTTTCTTCCAATTCCCCTCCACGCCTGATTTTAAGAGCATTATTCCCTCATTTTTCACTACACATTTCTTTCCCACTTTTGCAAAACATCATTCCCAGGCCTGATGCATTCCTGCCTGAATACGGACGGGGGTTTGAAGGTTATAATCTCGGAATCTCATGTAACCATTTCTTGAAGAATCCCAGATGGTCTCCTTCATTCGTGAGGCTGGGCTGCATGTTCCAGACACCCACAACTCTTGGTGTAAAGCTATGTGTCATTTTTTTTTCTTTCATTGCAAACCCTGTAACTTTCCTCCTATGCTCTAGATACGGCAAGCGGTCCACCCCCGAGGCGCTGGTGTCAGAGCTGCTGTTTGGTGACAACTCAGAGCACAACCAGCGATCAAGGTGAGGCACAGCACGCTGTCTCTATGCCAAGCCAGCTGTAGGCTATATTGTGGGAAGCAATTCACTGCATCTTGACAATACGTCTCCATAACATTCAAAAAGCAAAGGATGCTAGGGTAGATCAGGCAGCAATCTGCAGACTCGCAATTGTAGAACAATTATTTTTCCAGCCACTTGTATTTGTAAACTAAGAAGCCACAGTGCAGCTGCTTTCGTGCTGCACGATCCGAAGGAAGAAAAGAGAACCAGCATAAACATAGCCAGGAGCCTGTACTTCCACACTAGATCTTCTCTGCCTGAAGATAACCTCAGATCTTTGAATCACACCTCCTGCCCCAGGGAACAGAAATATATAAATGTGACTCAGGCCTCAGAAAGAGGGGCAGTGCACTTTCATTCCAGTATGATTCTGGTGAGATCAAATGATGAAATATTTTATTGTCAGACTGTTGAAACAAAATTAAAACAAGAATGGAATATGATTAATCTGATATCAAACATTCATATTACTCCTTTCACTTTAAATGGTACATTCCATTTAGTTTCACTATAGGATGCACATGCTACACATAGGCCCAAAGCACTGTGTTGGACAGCTCTTTATTTGATGTGTTTTATATATTTTGGGCACTTATGAATCAGGATTTTCAATTCCCAATCTGTTTTTGTACTCATCCCTCAAAGGGCCGCAGATATGACGCTGTTATAGCCATCAGTGTGAGGACTCATTCGTTTTTAACACCTGGGACTGATCTGCGATGGCTGTGATTTACAGCATTAGAAAAGGAGTCTGTTCTCCTGAATCATTTTCAAATGCAGTGAGATGACATCCTCTCAGCTGCGTACTGTATGAAGTACCCTCGCTGTGTAAAATCAGCCTCCTGTGGCTGTGAGGAAATGGTGAAATGTTTGGTCACTCCATGAACATCATAATAATAATAATTTATAATAATTCCTTACACTTGTATAGTACACTGGACACTCCACTCAAAGGCCTGTACAGGCCTCCACCAGCACCAGTGTGCAGCCCCACCTGGATGATGCTCCAGTACACTCCCCACACACCAGCTCTCAGTGGGGAGGAGAGCAGAGTGATGAAGCCAGTTCAGAGATTATTAGGAGGCCATGATTGGTAAAGGCCAGGGGGAGATTTGGCCATGACACTACTCTTGTCTAAAAGCAGGTGTCTTTTTACAGTATTGTTTCCCCGTCACTATACAGGGCCTTTAAGACCACACAGACCACAGGGTGAGTGCCCTCTACTGGCCCCACTAACACCACTTCCAGCAGCAGCCTTAGTTTTCCCCAGGAGGTCTCCCATCCAGGTACTGACCAGGCTCACACCTGCTGAGCATCAGTGGGGCTGCCAGCTGGGAGTCCTCTATTTGGTCAATGAGGTGTTTGGTTGAGTAACTCAGAGCTGAGAGACCCTGGACACTTGAAGTTCATGAGGACCCGACTCAGGCCAGTTACGGCAGGAAGGGCCTGGACTCACTTCCTGTCCTTTATCTTCCAGGCTCGACGACTCCTACATGTGGTGATTCCTGCCTCTTCTTCCTCCTCCTCCTCCTCCTCCTCCTGTGCCCCTCTCCTTGTGTCCACCACGCTGAGGGAGCCCAGCCCCGCCACAGAGGCCCGCCCTGTGACGGACGAGTGAACGCCACCAAACTCCAGCCCAGCTGTCTCCGCATGTTCCTCTCTCTTCCTCCCCTCTCCTCTTCCTCCCGTCCTCCTGGCTCTCTCCCTCTCCCCCTCCCACCTGGCTTCTTACTACACAAAGACAATTGTACATAATTTATTAATGAATAACAATAGAAAATTAAAAAAAAAATCTTCAGCCATTTGGCGCTATATCTTTAAAGAGAATATTCTTTTTGTTTGTATTGTATAAATGCTTATGTGCAATTAAAAGTTTAATGAATGATTCAGATAAGACGTCATGCGCTTGATTATTTCACAGCAGCTGAACGGTGCTGTTTCTTCTTCTGGGGTGCTGGAATCATCTGTCACTTATTGACCAAAACAGTGTTACAGTATGCCCAGGTAGAAGCAAAAGGAAATTCAGTGCCAATTTACTACCAGTTTTTGAACAGCAGACGCCTTGGTGTTTTGGAAAGGAACAGCTTGGAACCCCACCTATGGAATGGTTCATAACACGAGGTGTCCCGACATCAAGACCCCCCCATCTATGTGGGCTTTTTCAGGGTTGGGGGGGAGATGTTGTATATCCGTTGCTCCACATACAAGCTAGGATTCAGGAATGTGCACATGCCTTTAGGATTCTCCCAGAGACCGCTTATATCTGTGTGAGTTACAGTACATATTCAACCTGCAAATAGGGAAAACTAAACCAGAATTTCTCTCTTGATTGGCTGCTAAAGATTTGTTCTGTGCGAGAACAGTATTCTCAGCTGTCAATGACGGGCGAGAGCCTCTCTTTGTAACTCAAGCTGGCTCAGCAGTACTCTTCCTCCAAATCAGTAGTATTCCATAGGCGTGGGCCCATATTTACTGGACAGCCACAGCAGGCCGGCATCGATCCAGCACGGTTAGCTTATCAAGGCCAGTTCTTCGAGAAGGTGCGTTTTCCACAGGAGCAGAGCGGAAAGACGAACGTGCGTCGTCTTAACGAGATAAACGGCGGGTCTAGCTGGAAATGAAACTCGCTGAGAGGAGGATAACTGCCTTATATAAGCTGCGCGTCGAGATCGAAGAGCTGTCTCTTGAGGCGAACAACTTAAATTCGCATTTGAAGCATAAAAAAAAACACAAAAGAACTTTTACCTTATTGATTTACAAAGCCCGACCTGAACTGTTAGTTTGTTATCGCTTTGCTCTGACTCTTGGACCGGGAGAAACAATTCCGAAACGGTGCATTTAAGAACCTGACGAGATGTAATTAGTTCAGGTGCGCAGGCTGCTAAGGAACAAGTAATAGATTTATTCCATGCTGAAAAAAGAGGAACAAAAAAAAAACACACCTGAAGAAGGCTCAGGTAAACCAGTGTAAACCAAAACTTTTTTCTCTTTAACCTCTCTCTCATACAAATAAAAGAAAACACACAAACTTCCACAACATGACAATTTTCTCTTTTTTTTGCGAACTAAACAGTTCTATACACATATAATACCGGTGTGGCTCTGTTACTGATTTTTTTTTTATTTTCATTTTTTTAAGTTAAAAAGGATACAAAGGCCGAAACGCTGTTTTCTTTATTTTTTTCAGCATGGAATAAACCTATGAGATGTAATTAATGGCGAGCCAAGGCCTGACGATGAGATCTGCTAGTGTTCGAGGTTAGGGTTTTAAACGGTAAGGAGAAGATCATGAATATTTTATCTGGTCTCAGTTCATGCTATGCAAACTGTTCAATTAACAGCTGCGTGAAAACAAAAAAATGAATTAAAGATCGGCGCCTGAACGCGGATTCGCCCAATTGTACCGCGCCGGACTCACATTTAGTAGAGGGTCTCGGTTTTTTATTAGCGTAAAGATGCAAATATAAATGAAAAGAGGTTTATGTCACTCCTCTGTTATATATATATACATAATAACATCGAGTGTATATTAATCTATGAAAACATAATAGTTATAAAATGGTAATGGCGCTGTAATCTGCAGTAAATATTTGTTTTATACCTTCTTGTTTTATTCTGTAATAATAAAGTTTTATCGCTTAGTGTTCCAAATGGCAGCTTTTATCTTTGGTAATTTTACAATGACCACTTTTGCGTGTTACTATCCGTTCATAATAATGATAATAACCATTATAATGACTATTTTTGTTTGACTAAGGGTCATGAATGCTCAGATCGATCCAGGCCATTACAATAAAAACAGAACAGGGGGATCAATATCTGCCGCTTAATGAGGAAATGAAATGTATTTTCGATTTATTTCGCCGGGTATCGTCTTGGAAAATGACTTCCCAGATTGTCTGCCGTAGCTGGAGAAGGGAGCTACAAGCTTGATGACATCCTAGCAGCAAAGGGAAGTTCGAGCAGAATTCGCGAGGAAAATCTACAAAACTATTAAGGCAAAATCTGATTATAATATTGTTTCTAGAT